TGCCACATTTGTTTGCAGTATTACTTTAGTTGCCTTGTTGCAAACAGGATGCATGTTTTGGAATATTTGTATTCTGTACAGACTTCCTCCTTTTCACTCTGTCAATTAGGTTAATATTGTGGAGTAACTGCAATGTCTGTTTTTCTCCTATCACAGCCATTAAACTCTAACTGTTTTAAATTCACTATTGGCCTCATGGTGAAACCCCTGAGCGGTTTCCTTCCTCTCAGGCAACTGAGTTAGGAAGAACGCCTGTATCTTTGTAGTAACTGGGTGTATTGATACGGGATGAGGTAGTTATCCAAAAATCATGTTAAACACTATTATTGCACACAGAGTGAGTTCATGCAACTAATTATGTGAGAGGACATCGGTGTGTCACTTATAATGTATTACGTTATCCACATTACAATATGATTCATTATAATAATTGTGATATGTATGTGAGATACAACTCGATGGATTCTCCAATCACTGTGCAGGCAGGACATCGGATTCATGGAAATCCAGAGGGGGAGGGGTATGTCTCTTCATCAACAACACATGGTGTGCAGACTCTAGTGCAGAGGAAGTCTTGACCCATCTTGGAATACCTGATAGTCAAATGCCGACCCTTCTACCTTCCAAGAGAGTTTTCATCTGTCATCGTGACTGCTGTATACACTGAGTATACCAAACATTAGGAACTCCTTCCTAATATTGAGTCCATGTCTCAATTGTCTCAAGGCTTAAAAATCCTTATGTAACCTGTCTTCTCCCCTTCATCTACACTGATTGAAGTGGATTTAACAAGTGACATCAACAAGGGATCATAGCTTTTACCAGGATTCCCCTGGTCAGTCTATGTCATGGAAAGAGCAGGTGTCCTTAATGTTTAGTGTACTCAGTGTATATTCCACCTCAGGACAACAACAACACCAAGCTGGTACTTAATGAACTGTACGAGGCTATAAACAAGCAGGAAACCATGCACCCGGAGGCTGCTTTTCTTGTTGCCAGTGAATGTAATTCCACGTCACTAAGACACATGATGCCCAACTTTTATCAACACATCTGCTTCGCCACTAATGGCGATAAAGTGCTAGACCACTGTTACTTTACCCACAAGTAGGCATATAAGACCCTCCCTCGTTCCCCTTTCGGCAAATCAGATCATGTCTCTATACTCCTTTTTCCTGTTTACAAACAGAAGCTTAAACAGGAAGTACCAGTGACACGCTCCGTAGAGATATGGTCCAAATTGAGATATGGACTGCTTTGCTAGTGCTGACTGGAATATGTTTCGGGACTCCGCCGATAGCATCGACGAGCTAACCACCTCTGTCTCGGGCTTCATCAAGAAATGCATCGCTGACATTGTTCCCACAATGAAGGTTCGCTGCTTCCCCATTCAAAAGCCCTGGATTAACACAGAGGTATGCTCTAAAATAAAGGACAGGGCTACCTCACACAGGGCTATCGCAGCCAACCCTGAGGCTACGGCTGAGGACATACAAGAAGTCCCGCTATGACCTCCGCAGAGCCATCAAACAGGCAAAAGGACAACATAGGAACAAGGTTGAATCCTATTAAACCGGCTCCGATGCTCGTTGCATGTGGCAGGGGCTACAGTCCATTATGAAATATAAAGGAAGACCTAGCCGTGATCTGTAGCTCAGCTGGTAGAGCACGGCGCTTGTAACGCCAAGGTAGTGGGTTCGATCCCCGGGACCACCCATACACACAAAAAACAAAACAAAACAAAAATTTACTCATGACTGTAAGTCGCTTTGGATAAAAGCGTCTGCTAAATGGCATATTATATTGTATTATATTATGATGCCTCTCTACCAGACGAACTCAATGCATTTTATTCACGCTTCGACAAAAACAACACTGAGCCGTGCACGAGGGCCCCTGTCGTCCCAGATGACTGGGTGATGTAAGGTTTTTAATCTGATCAACACTCGCAAAGCCACATGCCAGACAGTATTCCAGGGAACGTTCACAGGCCAGATGGCAGGCATCTCCACGGTCATTTTCAACCTCTCCTTGTCCCAGTGTGTTTTCCACACGTCTCAAGCTGACCACCATCACTCCTGTTCCCAAGAACTATAAGGCTACCTGCCACAATGACTACCGCCCTGTAGCACTAACATCTGTAATCATTAAGTACTTTGAAATGCTGGTTCTGGCACACATCACCTCCATCATCCCAGACACCCTAGACCCACTCCAATTTGCATACTGCCCCAACAGATCTACAGATGATGCAATCCCAATTGTGCTCCACACTGCCCTCTCCCACATAGGAATACCTATGTGAGAATGCTGTTCATCGACTACAGCTCAGCATTCAACATCATAGTTCACTCCAAGCTCGTCACCAAGCTCGGGACACTGGGACTGAACACCTCCCTCTGCAACTGGATCCTGGACTTCCTGACGGGCAGAGCCCAGGTGGTGAGAGTAGGCAACAACACCTCTGCCACACTGACCCTCAACATAGGAGCCACCCAAAGTTCTGTCCTTAGCCCCCTCCTGTACTCCCTGTTTACCCACGAGTGTGTGGTCATGCACGACTCCAACTCCATCATCAAGTTTGCTGACAACACAATGGTGGTAGGCCTGATCACCAACGGCGATGAGACTTCCTACAGGGAGGACGTCAGAGAACTGGAAGTGTGGTGCCAGGACAACAACCTCTCCCTCAACATCAGCAAGACCAAGGAGCTGATTGTGGACTAGAGGAAACACGGGGGGTGCACACCCTCTGTTCCTAGTTCCTCTGTGTCCACATCACTTAACATGGTCCTCTCACACCAGAACAGTCATGAAGAAGGCACGGCTGAAACAATTTGAAATGGCCCCTCAGATCCTCAGGAACTTTTACAGCTGTACCATTGAGAGCCTTCTGACTGGTTGTAGCACCACCCACGTCCAGAAGGCCCTACAGAGGGTGGTGTGGACAGCACAGTGATTCACTGAAGGCGAGCCAGGTGGTGTCTGAGAAAGGCCCGAAAAATTGCCAAAGACTCCAGCCATTCGAGACATGGACTGTTCTCTATGCTCCCGTCCGACATGCAGTACCGGTGCATCAAGGCTCAGACAAACAGAATCCTAAATAGCTTCTATACCCTGGCCATAAGACTGTTAAATGGCAAACAACTACTGCTCTCCCTCTCCCACAGATTATCCACACTCTCTCTATGCCCGTCCACAGGTCTCTACCCACTCAGACACAACCTGCGCTGCTGCTAAAATGATTATTGATTACATTTATTACACCATTATGTTGCTGTCCATTGATTATTGGGTGCCATTACTATTAATATTTATCTATTTATCCTGCTAATGGTCACTGTTATGCCTGTTTACATGCATATATTACTATTACCATAAGTATTTATGTATTCCTGCTACCAGTCACTTTTCAGCCCGGTTTACATGTATATCCAGATAAAATTAACTTTATATGTATAAACCCACCTCAACCACTCCAGTATCCGTGCACATTGAATAAGGTACTGGCACTGACCTGTATATACTTGCATTCTCTTATTCTTTAACTCTCATCGTAGTTCTTGTGTGTTTTTTATTCATACTTTTATTTTTTATTATATTTTCTACTATTATCTATATTATTATATAATATTATTATTATTATCACTGCATTGTTGGGAAAGAGCTCTCATGGTTTTAAACCTATTGTATCCTGTGCACGTGACAAATAAACTTTGAGAATATGGCTCCACAATGAACACACATTTGGTTACCGGTTGGGTTTTCCATTTTCTTTGGCTACATATCTATAACATATTTATTACACATTTTTAAGCATTTCATGAAGGTGTTATAGCAGGTCCCAACCACATTATTAAAGGTTAATGAAATATATCCATAGCATAACTATAGCGCAGTCATGTCATGCAGGAGCTCCTATTTAGGTATCTTTAAAATGAAGGCATGGCACGTTGACCAAGCCCTGCGCTTTTAAAATGGCTGTGTTCCAATGGGAATTTGAGCATGTTTAGAGCGTCACCATTAGGTAAAATATCTGATTCCTCTTGGAACATGGGACATATTTGGGGACATATTTTATTTCCAACCTAGACTTACAAATCTCTTATTCCCCAACATGGAGAAAATTGGGTCAGCTGTGGTGTCTGAGGGCAGCTGCCTCTATCAAAAGTGAGGATGATGTTCCCTGAGAGACCAGAAGGGGGCAGTGTTGTGCTGCAGCCTTTACACACTTTAGTTGATCCTATTCTTCTTCGAAGTATTGGTGATATTCATTAGGAACAAAATGGGAGCAAACGGGCCGAAACAGTGAAAGACTACCTGAACTTGTCAATTAAGAATGCTAGTTTTCATTTTCCTTTGCAAAGCGTTATGCTACATGTGCACTATTGAATACGAGCCTGGACTGTTTTACAATACCTTCCTGTGGGAACCGGGCCAGGGAAAGTTATGAATTCGAATAAGTCACAGAGTGCAGGGTTGGCCAACGATATCACAAGAACGCATAACCTATCTATTTTTGGTGTCCGTATGTAAGTGTGTTTGTGAGATCCTGTTGCCATATCACTATGACATTCATATCACAGTTTTGGCTCACTCTAGGAAGCTTTCATGTGCACCATGTTTCTTCTTTCTCCTTTTCATATCAAGTGGAAAGTGTCTTTTTACTTCTGTTCATACATTTTGCAAGTCAAAACCAGTAACCTATTGAGTTGTCATTGTCCTCTGTAATGTAAAGTCTCTATTGGATCAGATGAGTAGATCAGTCTATATTCACAGTAGCAGGCTGAATATAGTCCCCTCTCTAGGTATTTATATCCTGCAGCAGGGAGGGTCTCTCCCTGGGCCTGAGCCTGGGTATGGCGAAGTGATCCACACACCAAAGCCCCTTTGAAAATTCCAGCCAGGCCAGTCTCACTTTCCCAATATAACCCACTGCTGCTGGCCACGCCCTTGTAAACAGCCTGGTTGGTCGCCCTCTTCCTGAGAGTGTCACAGTTTGACAGTGTGTGTGAGTGTGGTGGGTGTGTAGGTATGTGTGTGGGCAGAGCGAGTCTCTTTCTGGCCCTGGGCTTGTGAGTCCTGTTGTTCTCTACTCTCTCATGTTTTAATCATTTTTTTTCTTCAATTCAAATCAATTAGAAAAACGTTATTTGTTCCCTTGAATGGGCACCATGATGAGGGAAACAGATCCAGTGGGGACAGAGATTGACCTGGGAGACTCTGATGATGAAGACCTTGCCGAAGACCTGGATGAGGACTGTGTGGAGCCTCAGCTGCTATGGAAAGCTGAACTGGGGGATGGGATGGATGAGGAGGAGGCTGTGTCCCCGTTAGTTGACGTTAGTGACACCAAGCCCCTGCTGAATGAGAGAGACCCTAGAGGAATCAACGACTGTCTGAAGGTATTTCAAGCGCATTTGTTGTGTTTATTCATTTTTAGCAATTTGCATGACTTCATGAGTGGGTTCTTTGTGCTTTCTGGATTGTCATCTGAAAAGGGTAATTCTGTCACAATCGTAATATTAGGTGATGTGGGGTCAAGCATATAATCTGTCTTAACCCAATTAGTCAAACCTAATTTCTTAAACTAGCAAACAGATCTGAAGCATTTTATACGGTAATACAGTCTGTGGCATGTCACAGTTGGTTTTCAATGCTTGTACTGCCCTCTTGTGGGCATGTCATTGACTGCACTTTATCCATATTTCTTTGAGTGGCAAAAATGTACTTTCTGTGCAGTAGTTTGAAAGGAAACATAAGTCATTGTGTGAACGTCCACCCTGAGACTATGACTCTGCCTTTAGGTGACCTTTGAGGATGTGATAGCGGAGCCGGTGTCAGTGCGTAGCGGAGACAGAGTGTGGATCTGGAGTAATGCCCTGTTCGAGGTCACAAGGGTCTGGATCTACCGGATAGTAACCGTCCTGCTGGCCGTCCCTATGTCCATCATCACTGGACTGCTCTTCGCCATCCTCAGCTTCCTACACATATGGTAAGTATATAATATCAGTTCACTGCCCACTGAGTACAGTTTATGAACCATAAGTCAACATGTTGAAATTCTCTCTTCTCTTCTCTTCTCTTCTCTTCTCTTCTCTTCTCTTCTCTTCTCTCTTCTCTTCTCTTCTCTTCTCTTCTCTTCTCTTCTCTTCTCTTCTCTTCTCTTCTCTTCTCTTCTCTTCTCTTCTCTTCTCTTCTCTTCTATTTTCTTCTGTTACTCCATGTATTCTTTATCTAACCCTGACAGGTTCTTTAGCCCATGCGTCCATTACATCCTTATTATCACATACTGGCTGCAGAGCCTATGGAGCATCATACTGGACATTGGTGTCCGCCCATTCCTCACTAGTGCCTCAAGGTGCTACAGTGGAATCAGACTTCGCCTGACACAGGAATGAAAGATGATAGCGCTTCACACAGAGATAATGGGAATATCAGGATTGGGTATATGGGATTTTTCAGAACGTTACCCTACTATGGAATGCCCTCTGGGGAGACTATCAGTGCTGGACAAAGTCTTTGTAGGATGCTCTAGGATCAGACCAGGGGCACAACTACAGGCCTTTTGGTGGAACATTGGACCTTACAACTGAACTGAAATCAATGCGATTGATCAAGACTGGAGAAAAGTGTTTATAAAGCTCCAACAAGAAGATTGGTTACCTATCTGAGAAGTTGTCACAAGTTAAGGTGAAAAGGAGAATGTGTAAAGGATCCACAATCATTTAGGGTAAAACATTTTAACTAGTTTACACTGGAAGTGTGCTTTGAAGTGTACTTTTTCACATGATGCGATAGTGTTAGATTATTCACTTGTTTGATGAGCACATTTAGTATAATTCAGATACAGCACTGGAATATAGTGTTATCTTATTCAAATCTGACCACACATTTCAAAATGTGCCTCCACTATTTTTGTTGTATTGTAGAAAATATCAAGTTTATCTTTATCTATTCTGATAAAAATGAAATATATCTTAAATAAAGTGTTATAGATTATGATCAATATATCAATATCAGACTTGTTTTCTTATACAAAATCAATCCATTGAAATATCCCCTCTCTTCTAATAGACACAACTTATCTGAATATCAACGTTGTACTGAGTACAGTAATAAGATTCAAATAGATGGGTAAAGGGGCTCTTGTTCTTGAAAGGTGGTACAATCCAAATGTTGAATTTATTCATTTACACCCACTCTGCTTGCAGGTGACCTCATTATGTATGATTACCTTTCTAGCTACACAGTAGGATAACCTTTTGATGCTTCCCTACCTCCCACAGCTCAGGGTCTGGACACTCCTCTCTTCCCATTGGAAAGCCCTCTGCATTCCCCAGAATAGGAAATGGGACATTTCAATGAATTGAACAATAGCACAGGCAAACTCCCTGTATTTGAAGTGAACCATGTTTCACACACACACACACACACACACAGTGACTGGTCTGAATGTGATTAGCTTGACAGTACTTAGTGGCACCACTCAATGAGGTGAGGAGGTTGTCCTGTACTGATGTTAGTATAAAAAAGGCTTGATTTTACATAATCAGATAACCAAGGGTGTGAAGGAATAAATCAAACATTTGGATTATACGGTACCACTTTTCAAAAACAAAACAAAATATCCTGTTACCCAACCCCATGGATATTACAATCAAGTGAAGGAAACTGTGGTTGAAATAAAGCAGATATATTTGTTGTTGTTGTTTTAAACCATTTCATAAGTAAAGTCGTCCTACCATTTTATTACTGTATACTGCAAAATACTTACAACGTGAATTAGGAGATGAAAAGAGTGTCACTTAATTAATTACGTTACAGTTTTGTGGTTGCTATGGAAACAAGCAGATGTTCATGGTCCATTCCATCATCAGCAGCATGATACATCTCCTGCCAAGTTGTATTTTAGGTGAGTCTCAGGTTTTATGGAGAAGGGAAATCATTTTTATGTTGTTTATCACCACAGTCTGCTCGCAACTTAAGGTATAGAAGTAAATGTATCATACTGCATAGGCCTACGTCAGTCTCAGATCTTTGCACAGTTTTCTGTCCTAGCAGCAGATCCACCCGCTCAAACATATACGACAAGTCTCTGCATGGAGGGAATAACCAGAACATATCTTGGTAATGTATCATAAGGTACTATAAATAGATGCCTCATAGAAAGTGTCAAGTTTCAAGTTTTATTAGTTGTATGTACGGGATACACATGGTATACACCATCCAATTAAATGCTTACTTGCAGGTTCTTTCTCAACAATGCAACAACAATAATAAATAAGAAAAGACAAGAATACGAACATAAAGTAAATGGCTCAGTAGAATTGAATTTTTTTTTTGCATGAGTATCATACATCCAATGTCATCCAATGCTCTGTAGGGACACCACTTGTCTATATCTGAGCATTGCTATATGACAAAGCACACTTACTGTTAGTGTACTGGTGGGAGGTTTCCAATATCTTCACACTGTTTCCAATATCTTCATTTTCACCCCCTAATAAAAAAATAAAAAAGATATATCTTTACACTGTATGTAGTAGGCTACAATAATAACTGTGGTGAACAATCAGGGAAGTGTGAAATGCAACATATAGTAGGTCTGCTCTCTCCTTTAAGAAATGATTAGGGTCCCAGTGTGAGGTATGGCATGAGTGTGGATGGAGAATGAGCCACACCGGTGTGTGTTTACAATATATTGTCAATGTGTAGGAAAGGGAAACCTAGTCAGTTGTACAACTGAATGCATTCAACCACAATATGTTGAATCAGAGGGGTTCTGACTTAATCGACGCCCAGGGAGCAGTTGTTGTTTGGCGTTAACTGCCTTGCTCAAGGGCAGAACGGCAGATATTTATTGCCAGCTCTGGGATTTGAACCAGTGACCTTTCAGTTACTGGCCCAACACTCTTAATCGCTAGGCTACCTGCTGCCCCTGTAGTCTATGTGTGTTTGTGTGTTTATGCCATGCTATGGCTACAGTGGCTACAGTCTGACAGGACAACTAGGGGCTGTCAGTAGTGGCAGCTGCCTGCTGGGTGCTGCTGGAATTCCAGGAGTGACATCACAGTGAGTGGTGATCCAGAAGCCTGGGCACAGCCACACTCTGTCCCACTCCCCACTCCCCACTCTGCCCCACTCCCCACTCTGCCCACTCCCCACTCTACTAAAGCTACTACTGCCCAGCTCCAGGATAGATAACAGCCCTGCTCAGACCGTTCGTCTCGGACCCCTGTACTCTTCCAGGACCTGGGACCTGCCTTGTACCTCTCTGCCCCCCTCCTCTGACTAACATATGACCGTGACCATGGCTGACATCAACAACGGTTATGAACAGAAGTTCCAGACGGACAGACATCATAAAGAGATTGACCTGATCAACAGAGACCCCAAGCAAGTCAACGAGGATGTAGTGAAGGTAGGCTACTTTACATTTAAGTGTGTGTGTGTGTGTGTGTGTGTGTGTGTGTGTGTGTGTGTGTGTGTGTGTGTGTGTGTGTGTGTGTGTGTGTGTGCATGCATGTGCGTGTGTGCACCAGATAGCTAAGTATGGGCCTATTGAAGTTTTGTCGCCCCGGACTGGATGTGGAAATGCCTTGGCTTTTTTGTGTCAGTGGCAGTATGTTGTCTCATTGTACAGAGGGTTCCGAGTCAGGTTGGGAGGAAAACGAAGGAAGTCCCTCTGTTATATGTGCACATGTGTCTATGTTAATGACTTATTCAATTATAATTTATTGCTTGTGCTATGGAGTAGCCTGGTGGATAACTTGATCTGGCTGTTTATCCTTTGGGTTACGATTGTGCCCCATCAAAATGTTCCCTGAAATAGCCTGTATTCCTGTAGTGCTTTACCAGCCCAGCTACAGATAGTAGCTCTATTTCTGGAAAGGCCAATGCAAGGGTGTGAGATGCAGTTAAACATGTTTATCTGCCAAGACTGACATCATTGAATTTGTTCTAATCTCATTTTTTTAACATAATGTCTTTGATGGTTTTCTGTGGTATTCTTTGATTTGCTCATTAAGCATTCAGCTTTTGTGGCTTTTATAGCACAAATGGGCCTCTGTATAGATATACAGTAAGTGTATTGGTAAGTACCGGTAGTGATATCATATAGACTGTAGCTTACAAATACTGTTCCTTTAATTAGATCTGTGACTTTAAAACAGGCAGGTTGTTAGAAAGAGAACATCTATGTGTTCATGTTATGAGAATGTATCCATTTGCCCTGTCATAAGTGACTTCTTAAAGACACTGTCCAGTGTCTCCAAATTTCTATGAAATATTATATAAAATATTATACTTAATTATTATAATATGATTGAAATAGTTTTTCCTTCCAAAAAATTGCAATTAAGTATGTTAAAAAGCAGCTTTTCTGTGTTGGATTGGTGTGGCCTACTTCAACAACAGAATGGTGTGGGCGTATACTGGTCGTTAAAATATTCATGCGAGTAGACCGCTGATTGGCCAGCTCATCTTCCTCAGGAGTAGCAGGCATTTTGAAACGGTCTGTTTGAAATACAAGTTTGAGGTGGGGTTTTTGAAGTGTTTTATTTTCTTTCTCAAATGTATGCTTTGGCCACAAATATGAGTATAGGATAAGTCAACAACATTATGTCTGTATGAGATTTTCACTGGACAGTTACTTTAAGATATTTGCTCATGATATAAGTATTTGCTTGGGACAGTGAGAGGTTTCACAAAATATAATGATGGTCAAGCAACAGTTTTGAGCTAAAATAATTTAGCTAAAAGAAGGTCTAGCTGTGATTGGCTGTAGCATTATGTACTACAATACCCATAATGCTTTGAGTAAGATATTAGGTTTAATTGTAGTACAGATGTTCCTGAAGCTAGCATAATGTTGTCTTGTCTAATTGGCATTTGTGTCAGAAGAGGGATCCTGATATCAATTACAATGGCCTCTCTGTCTCCCCCTGCAGGTGGACTTTGAGGACGTGATCGCTGAGCCTGACGGGACTCACAGTCTGGACGGGGTGTGGAAGGCCAGTTACACCACCTTCACTGTGTCCAAGTACTGGTGCTACCGCATCCTGTCTGCCATTTTGGGGATCCCCATGGCTCTACTGTGGGGCTTCCTATTTGCCTGTCTCTCCTTCTGCCACATCTGGGCTGTGGTGCCTTGCATTAAGAGCTGCATGATAGAGTCCCAGTGTTTCAGCCGTATCTACTCCCTGGCCATCCACACCTTCTGTGACCCGCTATTCGAAGCCCTGGGAAAGATATTCTCAAGTGTTCGGGTGGTGCTACGGAAGGAGATGTAAGGTTCAGAAGCATGGGCCAGATTGAGAATTGTATAGGGTGGGGATGGTCCTGCCCGGTCTACTCTCCATCCTAAAGTAGGCTAATTCCTTGGCCTCCTGTCTGGGTTGCTGATGCTGGGTCTGGGTCTGACTCAAACAGAGCTTGTAATTGATGGAGATTAGTTTGTTCAATCAGAAGACAAAAAGAAGAGTGCTCTCACCTGGTTGCCATACAGATGTAGGATCTTAATTTGATCACTCTTTTGTTGCTGAGAATTCAAACTTTTAGTGTATTCAAGGTATAAAAAGGCTCCTAAAGTTTTACATTTCCACTTTAAAAAGTCAGAATTGATTTTCCCTAATGAAAAATGTGTCAACCCCTACAAAACTGTCCATTAATTATAATCTACATAATAATTATAATTTCCTGTTGCTACAGGATTATTTCCCTGCTGTAGCAAACTGGCTCAAATTAAGATCCTACATCTGTACATGTAGATGGGGGGGGTCAATCATGGTCTATACAACATGGTACACTACAAACAACACTCCCCCATGCTTGATTGATTTAATGGTTTACTTAAGCCAATTCCATGCTCTATTTTACAAAATTTTATTTGATTGTGTTCTCTTTTTAGTCATTTTTCACACATTGATTGTACAATAAATGAATTGTTTATTGTTACAGTTAGCTGTGATGTCTGTCTTTAGTTCTAGTCATGACTTCGAATCTGCCTACAGTACGTGATTGATGTAGAAAATATTCAGTGAAGGAATTCCCAGTATGCTCAGGCAAGGGTGAGGCCAGATGGATCTACACAAACATGTCTTAGTGCCAGTAGTGAAGAGTATATCTAATGTATCTATGTGTGAATGATATGGAAATGCAATCTATAGGAATTTACAACATGTTTAGCCATATCAGAAAATTATCTGATGACCTAGAGATGACCAGTATAAAGATGCCAAGTTTGGTCTTATTCAACTCAGGTAACCATCAACAAAGGATGTGGAATATTCTGTTTTCTGATATAAAGATTCACCATAAAATCCTATTTATGTTAAAGATAAAGTAAAGAACAGGAAGGCCTGCAGACTGTTTATGCTCCCAATTCATCTGAAATGGATCTTCATCAGGTCAAACAGACTGAGTGCTCACATCCTGAAATATACACATTTCACCTCACATGACCATTACGCAGATGACGCATGGTGTGTGTGGAAACAATTCAATTCACTTTAGAGCATAGTCAATCATAATTAATCACAGAGGTACATATGGTCATAAAGGATTATATATATACAAATCGGTTCAAGTTAAAACCTAGGCAACAGTAAAAAAAGAGATTACGTTGGAAACTGTTGGAATACCTGCCCATATGACCATTACGCGCAGGACACGCAGTGGCAGTAGATATAATTACAGTGACCTATTTCAAAAATAACTTGTGTACCTCTAATAATTTGAAATCAATGAGATGGGCACATGTAGTAATTCTAGAAAATCAAATATCTACATATGTACAAAATTACCAAGTGGAGACAAATTGTCATCACTCCATGGTACACTCCAAACATGGATCTATAAACACAGAGTAAAGGTTATAACCGAACCCAGGGTCATGTTCATTAGGCATTAAATGGGAAAAAAGGATTGAAAAACGGAGTGACTACCTGGACTTGTCCAATAAGAAACACTCATTTCAGTTTTTCATTGCAAAATATTTTCTGTTGCGTGCCCTAATGAACACTACCCAAGTAAACCCACACTTTTTTTGAGAAAAAATATCTTACATTTTTGGCTACTAGGTCAAACTATAAGGTACGTTTTCCAGCCTCTGCATGTTGTTCACCGCTCCCTTGCAGGGAGTGACTTGATCTGAATCAGACATTGAGAGGACTTGAGTAAAACAAGACCTTTACAAACATGACACCTTATTCATTCATTCATACTGACAACAATCTGACTGCTTATTAGCTTATTTAGTGTGGATGGACCAAGGTCCTCTATCTATGCATAAAGAAGAACAGAAATTTAAGCAGACACAAATTATTTATTTTTTCTCATACATTAGTGATACATTTATTCTATTTACATTCAAATAAATAATTAATATGAAGGGAATCTTTAGTTCCTGTTATATATTCTAAACACTGTAAGGCACGGGTCTCCAACAGGTAGATCACTAGCTACCAATTAGCTCGCAGCCCACCTATGAGTTGCTCGCCAAGTAATTCTGAAAGTACATGCATTTTTTTCATGTGTTCCATCACAAACTTCCATAAACATAAAGCTCCCGGCTACTATCCAATCAAAGCCACACTGACATTATCCCACTACTGGTTAGCCTCTATTGTTTGAAAAGCCAAACGTAACACAATATCTGCCAATTAATTTCCAACAATATTCCCCGTCTGCCCGTTTGGTGCGTGCATTTGTCTATCATTCTGTATGTAGCCAGTTATCGATGCTAATGATAACCATCTTGTGGGTAGTTAACTGCAAAGTAGGCTTACCGCTGCAACCTGGTCTCAGAGTATTTGTAATTATTCTCAAATCAAATCAAATGTTATTTGTCACATACACGTGTTTAGCAGATGTTATAGCGGGTGTAGCGAAAGGCTTGTGCTTCTAGCTCCGACAGTGCAGTAATATCTAACAATTTCACAACATATACCCAATACACACAAAAAAATAAGGAATGGGATTTAAGAATATATACATATATGGACAAGCAATGACAAAGCGGCATGAACTAAGATACAGAAGAATATTATAGAATAGAATGCAGTGTATACATATGAGATGAGTAGTACAAGATATGTAAACATTATTAAAGTGACTAGTGTTCCATTTCTTAAAGTGGCCAGTGATTTCAATAGGCAGCAGCAGCCTCTAATGTGCTAGTGATGGCTACAGTGGGGAAAAAAAGTATTTAGTCAGCCACCAATTGTGTAAGTTCTCCCACTTAAAAAGATGAGAGAGGCCTGTAATTTTCATCATAGGTACACGTCAACTATGACAGACAAAATGAGAAAAAAATATCCAGAAAATCACATTGTAGGATTTTTAATTAATTTATTTGCAAATTATGGTGGAAAATAAGTATTTGGTCAATAACAAAAGTTTCTCAATACTTTGTTTTATACCCTTTGTTGGCAATGACACAGGTCAAACGTTTTCTGTAAGTCTTCACAAGGTTTTCACACATTGTTGCTGGTATTTTGGCCCATTCCTCCATGCAGATTTCCTCTAGAGCAGTGATGTTTTGGGGCTGTCGCTGGGCAACACAGACTTTCAACTCCCTCCAAAGATTTTCTATGGGGTTCAGATCTGGAGACTGGCTAGGCCTGAAGCTTCTTACGAAGCCACTCCTTCGTTGCCCGGGCGGTGTGTTTGGGATCATTGTCATGCTGAAAGACCCAGCCACGTTTCATCTTCAATGCCCTTGCTGATGGAAGGAGGTTTTCACTCAAAATCTCACGATACATGGCCCCATTCATTCTTTCCTTTACACGGATCAGTCGTCCTGGTCCCTTTGCAGAAAAACAGCCCCAAAGCATGATGTTTCCACCCCCATGCTTCACAGTAGGTATGGTGTTCTTTGGATGCAACTCAGTATTCTTTGTCCTCCAAACACGACGAGTTGAGTTTTTACCAAAAAGTTATATTTTGGTTTCATCTGACCGTATGATATTCTCCCAATCCTCTTCTGGATCATCCAAATGCACTCTATCAAACTTCAGACGGGCCTGGACATGTACTGGCTTAAGTAGGGGGACACGTCTGGCACTGCAGGATTTGAGTCCCTGGCGGCGTAGTGTGTTACTGATGGTAGGCTTTGTTACTTTGGTCCCAGCTCTCTGCAGGTCATTCACTAGGTCCCCCCGTGTGGTTCTGGGATTTTTGCTCACCGTTCTTGTGATCATTTTGACCCCACGGGGTGAGATCTTGCGTGGAGCCCCAGATCGAGGGAGATTATCAGTGGTCTTGTATGTCTTCCATTTCCTAATAATTGCTCCCACAGTTGATTTCTTCAAACCAAGCTGCTTACCTATTGCAGATTCAGTCTTCCCAGCCTGGTGCAGGTCTACAATTTTGTTTCTGGTGTCCTTTGACAGCTCTTTGGTCTTAGCCATAGTGGAGTTTGGAGTGTGACTGTTTGAGGTTGTGGACAGGTGTCTTTTATACTGATAACAAATTCAAACAGGTGCCATTAAAACAGGTAACGAGTGGAGGACAGAGGAGCCTCTTAAAGAAGAAGTTACGGGTCTGTGAGAGCCAGAAATCTTGCTTGTTTGTAGGTGACCAAATACTCATTTTCCACCATAATTTGCAAATAAATTCATAAAAAATCCTACAATGTGATTTTCTGGATTTTTTTATCTCAATTTGTCTGTCATAGTTGACGTGTACCTATGATGACAATTACAGGCCTCTCTCATATTTTTAAGTGGGAGAACTTGCACAATTGGTGGCTGACTAAATAAAAAAATGTCCCCACTGTATTTAACAGTCTGATGGCCTTGAGATAGAAGCTGTTTTTCATTCTCTCGGTCCCAGCTTTGATGCACCTGTACTGACCTCGCCTTCGGGGTGAACAGGCAGTGGCTTGGGTGGTTGATGTCCTTGATCTTTTTGGCCTTCCTGTGACATCGGGTGCTGTATGTACTTAAATTTAGTATGATATATTATGTTTCGTATTGTATGTATTAATTTGTGGATGTCCATCACCCATTTCGTATGATATGCTACGAATTCTAGCTAGGTGGCTAGGTGGCTATCGTTAGCTAGCTTGCTAACGTTAGCTAGGCTAGGGGTTAGGGGTTAGGGTTAAGTTTAGGAGTTAGTTTAAAGGGTTAAGGTTAGGGTTAGGGGAAGGGTTAGCTAAAAGGTTTAAGGTTAGGGTTAGGGGAAGGGTTAGCTAAAAGGATTAAGATTAGGGTTAGGGTTTGTGGGAAGGGTTAGCTAATATGCTAAGTAGTTGCAAAGTAGCAAAAAAGTATTAAGTAGTTGATTCAAATTCACAACCTTTGGGTTGCTAGATGTTCGCTTAATACGCCCACCCCACTTTCGTTGTTGCCTTAAGTAACCATCTGTCTTATGTAACCATACCAAACGTAACATACAGTATCATGCTAATTTTAGAGTCCCGGTTTTAAATTGTCTATGTTACCTTTAGTCTATAAGACCAGGCTGGCTTACTTGACAGAAAGATATCATGATTATTTGTATCAATTGGGTGGCCATTG